AGTTTGTCCCAACTCCATATTAGTGCAGCTCAATGTGCCACAGAGAAGATGAAGGAGCCCCAAGACTTATGCAGATTTCTATGGATCAGATGACTGGTGAGAGTATACTATTCAGTGCTCATATGTGCTCCATGTCTTGCATATGTCACAGGGTATAAATCTATATATTCTCAACAACACCAATTACTTCACATTTAAGGCCACCCTCCTGTTTTCTACTCACTATCAAGTCCATATATTTACCTTCTCCTTCCAGTCACAATATTCTTACTCTTCTGTTTCTGTGAAGCCCACCATGATTCATTTTGGGATTAAAACCAAGATTAAAAAATCTTTGATGCCTGATTGAATTGTTTGCAGAGTGTCTCAATTGCATAACCAAAGGCAATTGCAGCTGGCTACATAAACTGTTCTGGCCTGCAGGCCTGTGCTAATATTACAACAGCAAAAATATTCCATGCTATTGTAAGCAGAAGCTGTTCATGCAACATGTAGGTGAAACAGGTTATTACAATTTTCTTCAATAAGGCAAGGAGACTCGCCCCTTACATTTTTCAACCATTCAAAGGAGAAAAGTTCCTGAGATTAATTTATAATCTGGGATTTGAAGAGCTCAGAAAAAGAAAGAAATCTCCTGGAATCAATTAAAATACCCTAGATACCTCTATGTTTCCTCTTTTTTGGGTGATCTATTTCAAATAAAGACCTGATTCTTGATGAGTAAGAATGTAACAGAGCTCTTATTACTATCTCTAAAGAAAGACCACACAATTTGCTGACACTGTAACACTGCTTCTTTTTGTGCAGTGACAACAGCATATACAAGGAGTCAAAAATTTTTCAGATTCCTTTTATTAACATTTGTAATAGCTGAAGTGCAGTTAACAAGCCTGGGGAAAAAGCAGACTTGATCGTTCAAAAAAAAGATAAAACAAACCCCAAATTCTTTACCTTTGCCTATTGCCTGATTATGAAAACTACGAAAAACTCTACAAGCTCCAAATAGATTTGCACGCTGATATAAAGTGAATTCAAACTTGGAAAAAAATTTAATTATTGGTCTGAGCTCCACAACATTCAGAAACAATGTCACAGGAAATTTCATGGGGACACTCAGATTATTATTGCAATGGTGGGCAGATGGAAGTAAGCAGAACTCCAGCTATCTCTGTAGTCTTCATTACAAAGCTAAAAATTAGAGATTTTTTTTTTTTACTTGTGGATACAAGAGGAATAAAGTATTTCAAAGACATTTAGTGAATCTGTACCAAATAGATACAAAATACAGTATCATTTCATATATCCTAAATCCAACACCCAAGTTGCAAATTCTCTTTTTTATTTTTTTTTTTTTTTTTGTTAACCAGTTACCTCACATATGAGGCATTATCAAGATCGAGTATCAGATACCGGACTATGACCTCTCTGCACTGACTTCTTTCATTCATTTTACATGTTTAGATCATAAATTCTTCAGGGTACAGATTGTCTCTTTGGACACATGCTGCATACAGTGGAGCTACTGTCTCATATCAAGCCCCATCTGTTATTGTCATTTGTATTCCAAAACAGGGTCTGAAATGGTAATTACAAACAACATTGGTCAGCTTTCATATTTCTGCTAGAACTAGATACTAGGAAAGCAGAGCATGAAACTCTGCCCTCACGCTTCTGCAGTATGCACAGGCATCAGTGACATTTTTGTATCGGAGAACCAGGGTATGCTCTCCTTTAGGGATGTGTTTAGATATCTACGTGCATATCCAAAATCCATTTTAGAATTGATTACAGCAAATCAAATCCAGTCACTATCCTTCCTTCTGTTCTACAAAAAGCAACTCTTCTCCTGCCTCCCCACTTTACTGGGAAAAAGGCCAGGCCTGCTGGATGCATGGAGGTCCGTAGGAACATGCCATTTGGAATCACAGCTGAAAGGGGCACAGCCAGACTGGCACGTTAGTGAAAGGACCTGCACTGCTGGGGAGTCGGGGGCTAGAGACGCAGAGGCAGAGCACATGGCACCAAGCAGAGAGTTTTGGCTTGACACTGCAAGGGCAGATGAAGCTCTCTGGTCTTGGACGAAACCTCCATTTCCATTTTCAAATCTTTACGGGTAAGCCAAACACCGTCTGTCACGCATAATCATTCAGTTACTCAGGCTTACCCATTCTCATGTATTTATGGGTAATAAGCCATAAAAGGATTACAGAGGTCATCTAATGTGATCTCCTGGAAAACTTTCCATTTAAACTTTCAGGAGAGGTCAGAGCAAGGGGAAAGACTCCTTTATTTCAAATTCTCAATGAAAGAGCGACCACACACTGTCTGGTAGATTGTTCCAAAGGCTAACTGATAAAAGGAGAGAGGAAAAGGCTTCTTTGCTTCTGGTTTGAACTCACTTGGCTTCAACTTTCAAATACACACTTCTGATGTACTGAAAATCCTTTATCAAAGCTGTATTTTCCTAAGAGATAATTATAGACCTCTTACTCATTAACATTATCCTTCTTAAGCCCAGGAGGGTTATTTCTTTGATCTATGACTTTGGTGCTTATTTTCCATTCTTTTGGACACAATAATTTCCAAACTCAGAAAAGCCTACGTCCTGGTTATAAGATCTATCTAGCATTTGAAAGAAAACATTCTGAATCCATGCAGGCTAAGAATGATCTCACATTCAGCCTTTTTCCTTTTCCACATGAGGCATGCTTGCATTTTAGCAAAACAAGACTAACATGATTGAGGAGCTACACACTAAAATTAATAAAAGTATAATTAAAAAAGAAGAACAACACTTCAGTGGTTTTTAATCATCATCATGTTAATACTATGGTTAGAGCAGTTCTTCCATCTTCTATGGAAAAAATTCATCCTCTAAAGATACTCTTAATTCAACAAAAATGTTGGATAAAGTGCAGTCTATACCAAAAAAACCCACGTTTTAAAACTGGTAAAAAGTTCAAAAGATGAATTCACTAAATGTGGATGATCATTTTTATGTTTATGCAAGTATGTCTGGCGATTGGACATTACTTCCAAAGTTATCACATATAAGTAATAATTTCAACTTAAGAGTATGTTACAACACCCCCATTTTCTTAAGTTCTCCTTTTCCTTATCTTTCTGTGTGAAAAACATTGCTGTATTATTGAACAATTATTCAATAATTTAATCACTGCCAGTTTTGTTCCCTATTCACCTAATTTGGTAGGAAAACAAGCCAAGAGTTTGGCACCCTAGAGCTGGAGGACCACAGGGCAAATGCAGCAGTATATTTTATAGCTCAAGAACATATACAGTATTTCAGAACATTTATTCAACATTCAGCAAAAACTCCCCCATGAACAATACACATAGGGTTCTTTCATTGGCAAGAACAAAAGGAAACCATATAACTGCATTTATCCTCATTCTTTTTATCTTCTACATACAGTACGTCAGCATACTAGTAGAAAATGAATATAGGTTTTAGTTCGGTTGTCAGTATTATTCTGTTGAACCAAAGTTCAGAGAATGCTGCAGTAACACGTCTTAAACAGTTTAACCACCTGCAGTTTGAATTAAGAATGTGATACTGTCCTATATAAGCACTGGATAAATTTCAGGTTTCAACTGCACCAATATTTTTTAGCTTGTTTCTGCAATTTGCTTTCATTTTCAGTTTCTGATGTAACAAAGTCGTTTTAGAAACATTTGAAACATAAGTGAAAGGCTACATTTATAATCTTTGAACAAAGTATAGTCTTTGTGGGCCAGAGAGATGACCTTTGACTCAAAATATTTAAGGAGCAGAGAAACTGCCTTGTTTTAATGCATAATTATTAGAAAAAGTAATATATAAATACAGTTATGTTGCTCCAAAATGGAAATCACAGAGCAGGAAAACTGTTGGCAGAGCCTCACATAAACTGCCTTAATTCCAGGAGAGATCAAATCAGAGACTAGACTAGACCAGACCAGACCTTCTAATTCAGAACACAAATAATGGAAGTACATCATTCCTTAACATACAGCAATTCCCTACAAACTGAGGGACTTTCTATGTATCTAATTCCCTCAGTGGCACAATTGCTGTACAGGTTTGTCAATGTTTTTTTAAGCAACATTTATGAATACGCAAACATCTGCAAGACGACTGTATTTTGCTATTTGATTATCTGGAGTAAAAATTCTGAATTAGCCAGTCAGAAAGATGGAATCTCATACTTCAACCAGCACAGAGAAATTCTGTAGTTTATGTAAGGAAATTAAGAAGAAAATACTTGTTCAAATACTAAAAGAAAATTATTTTAAAAAAGGAAAAAGAGTAAGAGCTCTGTAGAAACAGCTTGTTATCTGCGTGGTTAGGAATAACATTACTCCATTCCCTTTCGCTTTCACCATTCCATCTAATTACAGCTCTTGTTCCCACAGTAACTGACTTTCTTCATTGTTATACTGTAATCTTTCTCTGCTAAACTTACTTTCGTAATAAAACATGAAAATGGGAAAACAAAATGGGAAAATTGGCTCAATATGTAGTCATAGTTTACTTGCCCTGTGTGAGGAAAAATATAAGAAAAGAGAAAAATAGGGAAAAAAAAAAAACATCAGAAGTGGGAACTAAATAGCTCCAAGGGATTCAGAATTTTTTATTTCAGCTTTCTATAAGCTGCACTGCATTTTGAGAAATACTGGACAGAGTCCAAATATATTCAAGAAGGGCTATAGGCAGCCATTATGATCAAGATGAAACTGAAACCCTTAGCACAGATTATGTATGAAAATTTAGGCGTGATGAGATGAATTACCTTTCAGCACTTTAATTGCTTTTTCTTTTGCTTTTTTTTTTTTAATTTAAAATTTAGAATATCCACATCTCTCATTACCTTGGAAAGCAGCAATTCCTTCCAATTCCAGAGGAATCTAGAATTAATCTCTCTAAATTAATTTTCTGCTTACAAAAAAGATTAGCCAGACAATACATATTTAGATATTTTAGACATTAAAGGCTGATTTACCTTGTCACCTTCAGAGAAAGTTATTCCATCAATGGCCCTTTTCCATGTAATCTCTGGGATAGGTTCTCCTTCTGCTTCACAGATGAGGGTGGCTTTCCCATTTTCAAACGTGGTTTCATTTTTAAGTTGTATTATTTGAGGCTGTACTGTTAAAAATACAAATTACATTACTCATCCTGCATAAAGAATGTAATGTCAAAATCTACCTTTTAAACCACTCTTTTTTTTTTTTAAGCACATTTATGTTTTTTTACTTAGGATTAACTAAAGGTTTAACGTTACCATCTATAAGAGCAACCAACTTTTCTGACTTCAAGTTGCACAACAATCATTTCTGTATGTCTGATGGCCTGGACTCCTGGCTCAGCACGGCTGAGACCCCCAGGGCTGCCTGCTCCCTCGCTGGGGTAGTGTGGGATGGCTCCTGGCTGATGAGGCCCCTGTTTGTGTGCTTTGCTCCTGGCTCACCGTCCCTTAGGGACGAGCTGGCCCTTGCTACTCTCTGGCACTTCAGGAATGAAGCAAAAGTCCAACGATTCCATGACGATCCTGCACCTGGGCAGGAATAACTCCATGCACCCATGCAGGCTGGGTGCTGGCTGGCTGCAAAGCAGCTCTGCAGAGGGGGCCCAAGGGGTCCTGGTGGACAAGAAGTTGACGATGAGCCAGCAGTTCACCCTCGAGCAGAGAAGGCTCCGAGGATCTCAGCCATGTATATAAATACCTGATAGAGGTGAGTACAGATACAGCCAGAATCCTCTCAGTGGTGCCCAGTGTCAGGACAAGAGGCAAGGGGCACAAATTGAGACACAGGAAAAGGAAAAATGTTTTTTACTGAGAGGGCAACTAAACAGCAGAAGAAGTTGCCTAGGAGACTGTGGAGTCTCCATCCTTGAAGATATTCAAAACCCAGCTAGACATAGTCCTGAGACACCTTCTCTGGCTGACCCTGCTGTGAGCAGGGGCTTGGACTAGGTGGTCTCCAGAGGTGCCTTCCTGCCTCGGGCATTCCTTGATTCTATGATAATCTGTGTTTGTCTTCAAATAAAAATTATTTGGAAAAAAAAAAGAATAATTAATAGTCTTGGACACTGATATTTAGCAGTATCTAACTGCCTTACACAAGTTATTGAATTTAACAAAATCCCCAGATAACAAAGATATTGTACTGGCATTAACACTATTTAGAACTGAAGAGTCCTCTGATACAGAGCTATTCATTCTTACTTACCAAGTAAATCGGTGGTAAGATACCTTTAAAAAATGCCAGATATTGTTTGCATTCTTCAAATCATTCCACTTCATAGCCACAAGCACACAGCAACTACAGCTCTCGATCCATATTATACCTTGTCGTTATTTACATATGCAACACAATTTCTGGTTACATGTGAACACTTCTATTTAGAGGACTTCTCTATACAATATCATACAAGAACTCTGTTGTAGAACTATGCACAGAATATTACTCTCTTCCATGGTACTCATGTATCTTAATAAAAAATGTTTTGGTCCTATATATTCATTCATATATAACCATTAAAAAGTTTCTCTGAACCTAGCCACTTTACACATTAAATGAGACACTCATCCCATGGGAAAATCTAGAACGTAAACATATAATAAGAATATGATTCAATATGTTTACACCCAAAAGCAGGGAATAAAGTTTACATGAATGAATTAAATTCTGGCAGCTCTTAACATTGACTTTGTCAACATTAAGTACATTTGTTGAAAAGAATGTATTTTCTATGTTTTTTTCCTGAGTTTTGCTTTTGAGGAAGCATTACTATAGTATATTCTATATGAAGCAGAAAATAAACAGAGAGATCATCTATTTTCTAACGGGGTTACCAAAGTATGTGTTATGATCTAAGAGTAATATTGGCTTATGCCAGTGGATCAAAAAGGGGAAAGAGAATCTTTCAGGCTGGAAGGTCATCATGACCAACCTCCTCATCACCACAGGGTCAACAGACCCTGCTCACATCAGATTGCTCAGGGATTTTTGAGCACTATCTTGAAAAATTCCGAGAACAGAAACTGCACAGCCTTTCTCACCAGCCTGTTGCAGTGCCTGGCTGTCCTCACAGTGAAGAATGTTTTCCTTAGGTCTAGTCTCCTTTTTCATGTTATGACCACTATTTCATTTATGACGATTGTCTGACAGATGCTGCATTCAGCATCACCAAGAAAAAGAACAAAACCAGGTTCAAACTTGCTATATCCAGATACATCACCTACCTCTCTTTTATCCCTTTCCACCCCACCATTCTTGGCCTCACTTCTCATTCCTTATCTCTATACTCCTTCTGTTGCTTGCCTACTGTCTTTTCACCCTTGACTATTACAAATAACCTATTGTGTGTTTACTGCATAGAGATTAAAAACAAGTAATATTTTAGCTAACAAAGCACTAAACTAATATCCTGCTTCATTAAGATATCATCTATGCTGAGTGACATCACCTGCAGAAAGAAAAATACCCTGAGTGAGCAGGGCCTCTTGAAATGTCAACAGGATCCAGCTTTATTGGATGCAGTAGAAGGTAGGAAGGAAAGCATTACAGCAGGACATCAATTTGCCTGAGAGAAGCTGAAACTCTCCACAGTGGTATAACAAGGGATGTGAGCTGAAAGAACTACAAAAAAGAACTTGAGATAAAAGAACTATGTTAAACTCCAAAAGAACTTCAGTTATTACTCTCACTTCCAGGATCATCCAAAAGCCTATGAAATATTTTACCCTGGTACTCAGGTACTGCATTTCTATAGCCACGTCTCCTAACTTCAATATAATCTGTTCTTTCCTTTGATATATCATCATCCCCAGAAACAAGGAAAGAGCTATGGCAGGTATATCACTCATTTAAAAAGCATCATATGTAGTATTTTATGTCAGAAATTTGCAAACTTTGGAATTACATTATTTCCATCAGAACAAGATGATTTCCCTGCCTGGACAACATGACAGACAATATGATGTACTCAAGATGATGCATGTTCTAAAACATATAACTAATACTCTTTAATTTTTAATCTTAGACTTATATTCTAAATTTCTTTAAGGCCTTCTTCAAATAGATCACTAAGACAAAAAGTTTTAGCTTGACATTTTAGACATGAGCAGCTTACATTTAAGGGAATAAGCACTGATTAATCATCAAATGTATCTAGCTGACAGTTATTACTAGGAAGAAAAAGAGAGCTCATATGGGAGATTATTTAATTGCTTCATTTTTGTAGGTCACAAGTCATAACTTGCTATTGACCAGAAGTTTTTACACTGACTACTTTTTTATGACATTTTGGACATTGGAAAATATTAAAGTACTTTTGTGTACATTCAAATAACAAAATTTATTTGATAATGCCAAGTCTAGTATTGACAGAAATACTGAAACGGTTGTTTCCTCCCCGCCTCCAGTTCTTTAACTGTTCTTTCTAAATTGACAAGGTCATTCTCAAATTGAATTGGTATTTGCTTGCCGTACTCTAGCAAATATGAAACAAATGAAAATACAGGGTCTTGGAAGGTAAACCCAGGAAGCCTCCAGGTCTTTGCTGGTCTCCTCAGTCAAATATATTGAAATATTTGTATTATAATGTACTCAAAAAATTGTAAACTGAATGACCTGACTGAAATGAAAGATGGCTTGAATCTAGAAAGGAGTTATGTTTAAGCTTCATTCAAATTATTTTATTTGGAAGGTAAGGTGCTGCTTATTATTAGACATGCATATTAACAGAGTGATGCTGCCAAAGAAAGAAATAACATTTACTAGTTGGAAAGTTTGCTCTCAGAGCAGAGAAGGTTGGCGTTAAGCTCTCTAACACTTCCTCAATAAACAAGTTCCTTTCAGACTCCTTCCTTGGTCTCTCCTGGATTTGCCTCAGACAAGGGCTAAGCTTATTGCCGTGTACCTACAGCTTCCCCAAAAAGCTTAAGAAGCACATGGATAGCAATCTGAGGTTCTAGATTTGGTTTTGGTTGTTTACAACCAATTTCTTGGAAAAGGTACACAAGTTATTGAATTCACAGAGTTCTATCCATATCTTTGACAAAGTAGTTTCATCAGACTTGGGAAGCAGCACATGCAGAAAGCTTGAGATAGTCCTGATTATATCTCATCAAGAGAACTGCTTTAAACAGCTTGTTATTGATACAAACATGGATTTACTGGTGAGAGGCTTAGTATATGTCCGTATCGCTGTCTGATAGGATCTCTTGATTAATATGACACATGAGGAATCATACTTCTATGGTATCTTCCTCCACAGCCACATTTGAATCAGTTATTAAAACTGCAGCCCTGCTCTCCTGGAAACTCTTGGTACAATTTGAATTTAGTAAACAAGCTAGAGCCCAACAAGGAAGTATCTAAGAAACAGATTCCTGAAACTTGATTCCCGACATAATAAGGATTCACACATGCACCAGTATGAAGTGTTGATTTGATTTACTGCAAGATAAACCTGAGTCTTTTTGTGTGTTAAAATGGTATTAGTACTTCACACACAAAGGGATTTAAGAGTCGTCTTCTGAGAGAACTGGCATCACTGCCTTTATAGATTGCTTCATTTTTATTTTAAAAAGTAGAGGTGTTCCAAACAGGTGAGGACATAAGAGGGAGGAAGGAGGAATATAGGACATGTATGAACTTTTGATACTACGTCTTTAACTGATGAATTGCACTTTGTGAAGCTGCAGTTACTATACTTCGTAATATTTGGGATGAGCAGGCACAGATAGTTCCATACACCGATCCATGGGATTCCCTTTCTGAAGACATCAGTGAATTAAAATGAAGAGCTTCCATACATATATTGAATAGTATCTTAGGAGAAAAAAAACAAAACCCAAAAACCATACTGAAACACTTATTAATCTACTTATTAAGCTTAAAGGAAAACTAGGTGTGCTCCAGACAGTGTAAGTGTAACAGGAATTCAGTCATTAAGTCTGAAAACAATGGAAAATTTAAGCAGCCTCTCACCCCAATCTCATTATAGACTCACTGCAGACTCTGCTTCCAAGAACGCTACTGCCATCACTCTGGAGAAGGAATGATGAATAAATGAATGTTTAGGTCTGAGAAAGTAAGACAATGTAGGAAGGCTTTAAGGTATCAAATCTTCTTCACTGCTCTTAAATCAACTGCTTGTTATTATATTATTTTGGAAATTTTTGTTGAGGTGCCCATAGCTGTAAAATGTGGTATTTCATAATTCAAAATGCTAATTCACATGTATCTAAACGCACACATACATACACATCTATATGACTAATTACATCACAAAACAAATCAACGAAAACATTGAACTGAATAGTATGGGTGAAAGAGAGATAAGAAGTTAGCTACCAAGCAGAGACAAATACTAAAAACATTTTTAAAGAATTCAAGGAAGAATACCTATAGTTTCAAGCCATTCAAAAGGACTAAACATACATGAATTTGTATCAAAAACCTTAGTACAAGTCCTAAGCATTAATGTGGATGAGATCTTTTAGGTAGTAATGGATAATGATACAGAGAGAACTACAGCAGATAACAGGATGACAGAGAGAGATTAACAAGTCATGATCAGTAAGAAATCCTCTGAGGGAAACAGAGCTTTCTTTACTCTTCTATGTCTTATTAGGTAGGACAGATAAAAAGTACTAATAAAGATGAAGAACTGGGGAGGGCAGGGTGTGTGCCTATAGGTTTCTTTACATGTGTTAGTGTTGCAGAAAAACTGTCAGAGTAAGAATTTGGTATGAGGACAAAATAGTTTTTGTAACGCTGATACTGGAAACAAAAAAAATGTTTAACAAAAAAATCTAGGTCATGCATGGAAGCAGTTAGATGGCACTACGATGGGCATGCCCATTCAAAAGTGTAGAGTAGTAGACATTTTAAATGCTGAATGCTATAATGTTGCTGTAATTTTTATTGCGCTATGGTTACATTACTGTTATTGTAAGTTTCAACCATGCCAGAGCCTTGTTGTAGTAGAAACAATAGTCATTGCCCCAAGGAGTTTGCACTTGAAATTAAAATTAAAGATAGCAGGTATGTGAGACAAGCAAGCTAATGGAGTGGGAAAGAATAATGTAATTTAATAGGTCATTTTAACACAAACTGACTGTGTACTATTTCGCTATAATAATCGGCCATCCACCTTGCCATTTTCAGACTGCAGTTTTTTGAACACATTTAAGGAGAAGAAAAGTATAACAAGTTGTTGACTATATAAATGACTGGGAATTTAACCCGTATGAAAGAGACAAAAGAAAAAGTAAAGTTCTTTGTAGGAGAGAATACAACTCTGCTCCACATTTTCAGAGTTAAAGTAGAGGTGAACTTTGTCAAGGCAATATTAGACTAAAATTACATTGAACTTTAGAGATTAAAAATAAGGTAAGAGGCTTAGTTTATGACACTATTCCCTAAGGCATTTAAGTTTTGGCTGGGACAGAGTTCAAAATGGATTAAACAAACTCCTGGTATCTATTAAATAATTTGGATTTAGCTTTCCGGGGAGTCCCTGGAACAGTGGTTGTTAAAAGATGGAAGAATTTATACAGGAAATACTCACTCTTAGTCTGGTGTCTCCCTTTCCCTCCTCCTTGCACTAAAAAGTCGCCTTGCCCTAGGCAAAAACTAAGTACATTTCAGCCATACTTAACTTGAATAACATGCAAAATTATTTCTGTCTGGAACTTCCCTAAATTCCTATCAAAACTAGCAAGTCTTTTCTATTACGTCACTTTTTTTTTTTTCCAATTTTGGAAATAGAATTGAATGAAATGTTTTGAGTTTCCACAAAAATCTTCAAGATGCTGTACATCTTGTGGCTGGGATGAAATTTAAAATTGTTTTTCATCTTCTTTCCTTTGAAAACCAATTGAGAATAACTTTCAAGTACCTCAGAACAACAAAGTAGCCCAATAGTTAGGCAGCCCATCTGGAGTACAGAGCACTGGAGATAGCCCAGCATGGAGGGCTATGAAGAGTTTCTCAAACTG